AGTTGTTATTTTGGATATACCTACCCGGCCACCAATGAAAAAAATTGTATATAGTATACAATTATACATATAGATATTCAGTGACCTCTAGTGAAATTTACCTTTTATTTAAAAAAAATTCTTAGGTCTAATCTCGTGGAATTCTAATCCCGATTCAGGCTCATAAATATCGTTCCTGTTATCAGAGCACTGGAAATACTCTTGAAGCCCCGGGGCTTCAAAATTTCTCTCTCTGTCACGTCAGCTTTAACTTGCCTCACAGATTCACTGGGTTTAAATATACATCTTCTAAATTTAAATTAATAAATTTAAATTAATTTATTATTTAAATTAATCGCAATGAGACTAGTGCAAAAAAAAATTACATTCATTAAAAAAAATTACATTCATAAAAAAATACATGCAAAAAAAAATTACATTCATTAAAAAAATCACATTCATTAAAAAAATCACATTCATAAAAAATACATTCATTAAAAAAATATTACATAAAAAACAACACTACAAAGAAATTACTAATTATTTGAGCAACTAAATATATGTTCGATCAAATCCGCCGTTAGTGCATTGTGAATCTCTCGGCTTCAAATTTCTTGGCGGTTTCTTCGTTTCTTTTCTTCGTTGATTTCTTCGTACATAGGCACCTCCTCGTCCGGGTTGTATTGACAAATTGCAATCCCGTTGTCCTCTATGATCATATTATGAAGAATAATACATGCGTACATGATATTCCTCATTTTCGTTTGAGAATAACATTTCGACGGTCGATCTAGAATGTGCCATTTATCCTTCAAGACCCCAAAGGCTCGTTCAATATCTTTTCTCGCCGCCTCTTGAGCTTTTTTGTAGGTCTGGCGTTTAAGACCCATTGTTTCGGTGAGGGATTTGACAATCGTGGAATAATCTGGATATATTCCATCGGCCAAATAATATCCACGCTTGTAAAGCGTCCCTCTAAGCTCAAAAGACGAGTCGGGTGCGGTCTCATTAATCCAATCGTCAGAAACAGGCGATTGATCAAGAACGTTGATATTCGTTGTTCGACACCGCAACACCGGTCACGTTTTGGGCGATAACCAAAATGTCATGTTATGTTACCAAAGGACATTCCATTAACTACAGCGACCTTCCCACAAGCTTCCTATTTTGTCCATGGATGAACAGGGGAAGGTCACATATCCTCCTCCATAAATATGTTAGCAATGGATAGATGAGTGGATCCAATCTTTAACTCACTAAATGTACACTCTTGAGATAGAGTAAGAAATATAATCCGGACTGAGGAGATTTACCCAGTCTAGGTCATACTTTGTGTTCTGATTGTGTGTATTTACTACGAATAGAGTCTGTGTCTAGGTCAAACCCAAGCAACCTACCCGGTTACATTTACACCATCATTTTTGGCGCCACCCGTGGGACCCAATTTGTGAAATTTTTTGACTAGGTCAAAACTTCTTCCCACCATTGAATACAACTCGTGGCGAAACAACGAAAAATGAGAGCTCTTTTTTCATCGTCGGATGAATATGATCTCATTTTTAAAATATATTTTATAAATATTTATAATAAATAATAAATATTTTAGAGAGAAGATAGTGAAAAATGTGTGAGAGAAAGGGGGGAATTTGTAGGTCGTTTTTAAATTTAGATTTTTTTATTTGGGGGGGTGTAACGGCTAAAAGGGGAAGCCTGCCGCGTCAAACGAATGACGCAGATGCCATGGTGCCCCGGTAATGCCACAGGGGGCGGTGTTTAACGCCCCCTGGGCGTGAAACGCCCACTCACGCCGGTCGGCTTTACATACATTACCAGTGCTCTCACCACCAAGTTTTTTAAAACTCTTCCTCTTATGGTACCTGATCCAAGTCCTCTCTTGCCTTCAGAAAATTAAGAAAAAAGGTAGTTTTTGGAACCCTAAACGTCACTTTTAAAACTGGTTTGTATGTGAGGTATGCGATTTTGAGTTATGGCTCTCGGTTGCTGTCATCTGCATCGCTCTTCCGTTTCTGATTTTTTAAAAACTAAAAATAAAATAAAATGAATGGTAGAGAGGGAGGGTGGTGTACATTTGGGGTACAACTTTGGTGTACCCCTAGGAAAAGAAAAAAGAAAAGGGTAATGACAACACCAAGCAGTAGAGAATAGAAAAAAGAAAAGGGATATGCTAGGGGTACACCAAAGTTGTACCCCAAATGTACACCACCCTCCCTCTCTACCATTCATTTTATTTTATTTTTAGTTTTTATTTTTTTTTTGAATTTTTTTACCTTTTTTGTGTGGTGATGGAAGGGGTGGGGAATGTTTGGGGTACACTTTTGGTGTTGGTGTATCCCTAGCATTTTCCTTACTAGAAATATGTTCCCATAGCTCTTAACTGCAAAATACTGAAAACCTAGCTAGATCTGAATTTGTTTAGGGTCTATTTGGTATAAGGAATTGGTGGAATTGGAATTGAATTGGAATTGTAATTCCATGGGATTCAATTCCATAGAATTGAATTCTGTCAATTTCAATTCATTTTTTGCACTATCAATTCCAAATCCACATTGATGGTGTAAATTACTTGACCGGTCAAACTATACTAGACCGGGTCTAGAATAGTTTGCTTGATTTGGCAAAGTAAGGAAGGTAAAAACACGCAGATTGACCGGTAGGACTTTAGGTGGAACACCTGTAGCCCGATTTATATTATAACGGAGAATGCACGGGTGCTTTTACAAGGGAATTTAGAGAGAATGAATTCGGATCCCTCTTTCTGAGGTTTACATGAGTATTTATACTAGGCTAAGGGGACAGGACCACGTGCGCCCACGTGGAGGCATGCTGCTGATGTGGTGCGAGGTGACTGGTTTCGTCCTCGAGCTGCCTTGTCGCCTTGTGAGGGGGATTATTCCCTTTGTCAGGTAGTGCCTTGGATGGATTCTTCAGCATCTCCAGTTGTCCTCTACTGACACGGGTCGCTACACGCCAAGCCCTCGTAGATTCTCCTCTGCCGACACTTTCCAACCCTAGAAACTACACCGGGTAATTTCTGAGGGATGAGTTTATCGTACTTAGGGAATGAATGGAGTGATAAGTAGTTTGACCGGTATACTTTTTCCCGAAGTACACCGGTCAAATTCGGACCGATCAAATACCCACTTGCTGACGATTAAAGTCTCCCTTTCCAGAATTTTCAAGATTGACCGGTCAACTATTTGGTCTTCTCCTTTGACCGGTCATGGGTGGAATACACCCA